CAAGCTAAGGGAAACAAATACTTGTTGGCGCTCATGCGATACATCCAAAAAATCGTGCAACTGCAGACGGAGGCGCGACATCGTCTAGTTCGCGAGCAGCACCAGCAGACACAGCTACCGTACAAGGAACTCGTGGATTACTCATCGTCGTCAGAGCATGGAAGACGTCAGCAGCACCAGCTGACAGAGGGAAGTTTGGCAGCGCCTCAGCAGCTTTTCGAGTTGCTGTTTATGCGTCCAGAAGATCTCATTTCTGACGTTCTCTTTCCGCTGCGTGGGCAGGAGGAAGCGAAGCAATTGGCAGCGCTCCTAGAGGCCGATCTCACGGGTGTGTTACTGCAGGCTGCATTGCCACTGCATCGGCTTTTGCAGAGTGACAGTAGCAGCAGCAGCAGCAGTAGCAGTATCACGAGCAGTAGCGATAGCAGTAGCAGCAGCAGCAGTAGCGACGGCAGCAGCAGCACGAGTAGCAACGACAGCAGCACCAATATCAGCAGCACCAATGTCGGCAGGAGTTACAACACACGCAACTCAAACACCAACACAGATAGCAGCAGATCGCTCGCGGGTGAGCCTGTGGAGAAGTGCGTGGGAGGAAGATTGCAAGTCTTCGAGGATGGAAGTGGAGAAGCCTTCTCGCAGCTGGAGTATCGGGGTCGTTTCCACCAATCATCACCCCAAGCCGCTGGGGGAAGCAGTCCAAGCAATCCTGACACCCACAAAAGCAGCAGCAGCAGCAGCAGTCTGTGGCAGCCATTGTTTCCGTGGCATGCGCGCGCTTTGCGAAAGGATTTAGTTCTCTTTTTGGGGAAACTGGAGAAGTCGGCGTTTGCGCTTCGCTCAGCAGCAGCAGGGGCTGATGCCTTCCCCAGTTCGAAGGGAGGCGAAAATCGCAGCAGCGTGGGGTGCAGTGTCGGCGAAAAGAAGTCGCTTTTAGCGGCTTTGGCAATTGCAGAGCGATGCACGGAGGCATGGCCGTCAGGGGATATGCTGCTGCTAGCTCAGCAGCAGCTCGTCGGATGCTGCAGCTCTCTGCGGCTCTGGTTTGCCGAGAGGCTGCGCTGTTGGCGTCTTATTCAGGAGACAGGCAGCCTGATTAATTCAGCAGCTTCACAAGTTGCGACAGACTTCTGCAGCTGGAAAGTTCGCCCTGAAGGATGGACCCCACAGGAGTTGGTGGCATTGCCTCTGGCTGCGAAGGTACGAGGCAAAAGATGCGCTGCATTGCAGCTAGGGGCCAAGAAAGAGGCCTTTGGGAGTAGCCTTTGCTGAAAGCGTGTTTTTTATGTGTGTGCGTGTGTGTGTTTATGTGTGTGTGTGTGTTTATGTGTGTGTGTGTGTTTATGTGTGTGTTTGTGTTTGTGTGTGTTTTTATGTGTGTTTTTATGTGTGTGTCTGTGTGTGTGTGTTTATGTGTATGTGTTTGTGTGTGTGTATTTGTATGTGTTTGTGTATGTATTTGTGTATGTATGTGTGTGTATGTGTGTGTGTTTATGTATGTGTGTTTATGTGTATGTGTCTGTGTGTGTGTATGTGTGTGTTTATGTATGTGTCTGTGTTGTTGTGCTGCGTGGTGGCATGCCTCGCGGACTGCCTGCGCTTCGTGGCGTTGAAGGAAAGAGCTATTTACGTGTTGTCTGGCTGTCATTTTCTTTCTCTCTCTGTCTGTGTTTGTCTGTGTGTCGCTCTCTCGCCGTCTATCTATCTGTCTATCTATCTGTGTGTCTATCTGTGTGTCTATCTATCTGTCTGTGTGTTCATCTGTCTGCGTAAATAAGGGTCTATGTGTGTGTGTGTCTCTGTGTGTGGTGTCTGTGCATGTCTGCGTGGCTGCCACTGCTGTAGAAACACTTGGAGGCCGTTGCAGATGACAGTCAGGCAGCCATGGAGCTGTGTTACGCTGCTGCTGCCCGTGCCTGGGCTGCTCGAGGCGATTTCCAGCGCGCGTTGGCGGTAGCTGACGCTCAGCTTTCTTCAGACAGAGAATTGCAGCAGCACCTGCTTGATTGCCTCATACAAAAGGCCCTTAAGGCTGTGCAGCAGTGCCTGCAGCCAGACAAGGTGCAACGCATGCGTTTCTTCCACGACTTGGAGGGGCTGCACCCAGAAGAACTGCAGCTGCAGCAGAGTAGGCAAGAGCAAGAGCAAGAAAGGCATGAGCAAATAAAGCAGCAAGAGCAGCAGATGACACCGCTGAGAAGCAGCGAGAAGAATTCAAGCGGCTACACACCCCTGCAGCATGGATCGCAAGGTAGCGCAAAGGCATCCATCGCTGCGTGGCCATTAGATGCTGCACTCAGCAGCAGCAGTGCCTTCGCCATGAGAGTGGAAGCTTCACCTCAAGCAACAGCAACAGCAGCACATGCAACAGCAAGAAATGCAACGGGAGGGGCCCCTTCTTGCACTGGTGAAGCAGACATGCAGGAAGAAGTTTCGCTCCCAAATTGCGTGATGCGTCTTAGCAATGCAGCGGCAGCAACGCGAGCTGCTCTGCTGCTGTCTGCAAGCTGGCCTGTGCAGACTTGCATCGATACACTGGCGTGTTGCCAGGCACGTCTACACGAAGAGGCAGCAGCAGCAGCAGCAGCAGCAGCAGTTGCTGCTGCGGAGCGACAACAGCAGCAGCTGCAGCCACAACAACCGCGACAGCAGCAGTCACAGCAGCCATCGGAAGCAGAGCGGCATGCAGAAGTCAGCTTCAGCGGCTCTAGCAGCTGCAACAACGTCGGCTGCACCTGCTTGCAGCAGCACCCGCTCCTTGCAGCTCAAGAGCAGAGAGCTTGGTCTGGCGCAGTACGCCTTGCATCGACTGCGGCATCCGTAGCAGGAGAAGTGACAGAACAGGATGATGCACTGTTTGCAGCATCTGCCGAGGATGCAGACGAGGCAGCAGATGCCGCGCTAGCTGCCATCGCCTTGCGCGCAGTGTCTCAGGATCAAGCTCAGCTCTCCTGCTGCAGCAGAGGACTCTGTCTGCTGCTCATGCTGCAGACTGTGGGCTGTCTCTACACGTGGCGTAGCTACAGCGCTGCGATGGAGGCAACGCGAGGCGCATGGAGCTCGTGGCGAGAGCTTCACGCGGCTGTACAGACACCGGAAGGCATTCAGAGAGTGCGCGAGGCAACGCATGCATGCGCTTTCCTCCTCCTCCTAAGAGGCCAATAGTAACCGTTCGGCGAGCATTAAGGGCCTTCTTGGAGCGAGGAAAGTTGGGAGAGAAAAAGAGGCAGACAGTCTTTCCGTGTTCTTCTAACGACTCTATCTATGCCGAAGAACAAACCGCTTTCCTGTGTGTGTGCGTTCAGGTAGTATACACTTTGGCTGCATGCAACGGCTACGCAGCGGCAAGATCCATCTTGAGGGTAAGCTGTTGTGCTAGATACGGGCCTTAATATATCGCATAACGGGCTACACTGTGCATGCAGCATAATTGGATGTACAACATAATTTGCTATACAACAGAATTTGTTGTACGACATAATCTGCTATACAACATAATTCGATGTACAATATAATTTGATATACAACATCGAATACCTTGCTATACAATGCATACAGCGTACTTTTGCGGTGGCTGCAACATCTGTTCTTGATTCTCGAACCCGTGCCCTTTCTGTGTCTCTCTTTCTGTGTGTGTGTACGCGTATACATATATATATGTATGTGTGTATATATATACATATGTGCATGTGTATGTATCTCTGCTGAGCATTTGGAAAAGACGCTGCAGCGTCCTGCACGTGTTGCTTCGCGTTTGCAGCTGGTCAGTGGCGCGTCAGTCTCCCCGGCTAGCGACAAGGCGGGGAGCCAGCTAGCGACAAGTAAAGCTGGTGAGCTGGCGAGTCTCTCAGTGAGCGAGCTAGCAGGTCACCTGCAAGAGTGGCTAGCTGAGGCTGAGTTGAAGCAGCTGCTGTCTCGTCCTGGTTTTAGAGGAGCCGCGACTCGCAGACTTCTCGCGCTGAGCAGCAGCAGGAGCAGCAGTCGAGTTGCTCTGCGGCTGCTGTCACTCAGCAGCACTGGCGCGAGCAGCCTCAAGGAGGAATTAAGTCCTGCTGGTGATAGCGTGGCGTTGCAGCTGCATTCGGATTTCGCAAAAGTGACGAACCGCCTGTATCTGTCCGAAGTGGTGCTGCAGCAGACTGAGATGGCAGTTCATCTGTCTCAGCTCCAGAAGCAGCTGCTGCAGCGGCTGCTGCCTTCGCTGCATTTGCTGCAGCTGGTCGAGAGCGAGGTTCAAACGCACAGAGAACCGCTGCTGCTGCATCCTGAGCTGCTGCTGGAAAGCCTCATCCTCAATGCTCGCACGGAGCTGCTCCACCCCTTCCTCCTGCAATGGCCAAAGCTGCGAGACGACCGTCTCCTCCTGCGATACGCCAGAAAAGCACTTGGGCTTCCCCATGTTGCTGCCGCTCATGCATGCGCGACAGGAGCAGGAAATGGAGAAGAAGGGAAAGGCAGTGGAGAAAGAGAAGAAGGGAAAAGAGAAACAACAAAAGAAATAGCAGAAGAGGAGGAGATTTTGCCCTCTCCCAGCTGGGGCTTCGGGGGGAGATGGGTGCTCACTACGGATGCTGCAAGGAATGAGCGAATTCGCGAAGCGCATGCGTATGAGCCGAGTCGCGCTGTGAGTGTGGCGGTTGAATTGTTGCTGTTGCTGTCGTCGGACAGCAGAGAAGGCGCGATCGGGTGTCTTCGCATCTGCACGGAGGTTGCAAGTCTGCTGCGGCATGCACTGTATCGACACCCCATGGCTGCATGCGGCCCAGGAGTCGCTCCTGCGCAAGAGGCAGCAGCAGCAGCAGCAGACGGGAGCAGCTGCGAAGTCAGCTGTATACGGACAGGAGAACGCAGTTTCTTACACGAAGAAGGAGGGCTTCCAAGAGCAGTTCTAACCGCAGCCGCAGGAAACACCAGCAATACTAGCAGCAGCAATAGCAATACTAGCAGCAGCAATAGCAATAATGGCAGCAATAATGCCAGCAATAGCAATAATAGCAACGATGGCAGCAGCACGACTGCCTCCCAGATCACGCGGCAGTTGTGTTGCGGTCCGTATAACAGTTTTGCTGCATTGCACTGTCAGCGCTCGTCCTTTGCTGGGGTGTATGGACAGCTGAAGGGGCGCGGCTCGGTGCGTCTTTCGAATGCTTTACCCTGCGCTCTTCGCGGGCAGTTGAGGCGTGCGCATGCCAGCGTCTCGAAGAGCTCGGCAGAAAGGTGTCTTTCGCGTGGTGAGACGACGTCTGCTGTCTCTTCGTTCGCTGCTGAAGACGGAGGCAGCGGCGCAGCGACAGAGGCAGCAGGAGTGGCGCTGTCTGCAGCCGCCGCTGCTGGAGCGCAAGGCGATAAGCGCTGGGAAAAGAAGTCTCTCCTGGTTGGCGCCGCGGCAGCGCACGCTGTTTCTCTGTCTTCGCTCCCCTCAGGCGCGTTGACAGGCCTCCTTCACCAGCTGCTGCGCCTTTGCCTCGCGAAATACGGGGAATGGCGGTGGGTGTCTGCGCGCGTGCTGCTGCTCCAGCAGCTGCTGCCCTTCCTGACATTGCTGTGGCAACAGGGTGGTTGGCAGCCTCCCGTTGAGCTGCTCCTACGACCTCGTACTGCAGCGAGACTGCGAGACAGCTTGCTGCGGTGCGACAACTTGTGCTTAGCCTGGCAGCTCTGCAGAAGCTACTTCAATGCCGCGCTGTTGCTCCTGCAGCAGCAGCAGCTGCTGCTGCAGCAGGATCAGAAGCAGCTCCCGGGGAGGCTGCTGCAGACAGCAGGCAGCGTCGCCGCAGCGCCTACGGTGGGGAGCCACGCCTCTGCTCTTTCTGCTTCCACTGCTCTCAAGTCGAGGGTTGCGGAGGCAAACTGCGCAGGCACGGTTTCCTCCGCAGCACCGGATGGCTCCGAAGTGGCAGCTGCAGCAGCTCCCGCTGCAGAAGAAGAGGTCGACGAAGAGCTCGGCAAGACGGTTGGCAGCCTCCGATTCTACCCCGTCTCCGAAGTGCGCGTCGTGGCGCTCGCGCGGCTTGGCATGTTCGCAGCTGCCAAAACGGGCTTGCATGCTGCACTGACTCTCAATCTTGAGCAGCACTTGCTGCAGCAGCAGCTTGCGAGCGCTTCGCCGCAGGCTGTGAAGCAACAGCAGCAGAAGCAGCAGCTGCAGCAGAAGCATGCTGCCCCTCCAAGCTCGCCGACTAGCGATCCGCCGCGCCACTGGACGGCCTCATTCACGCAGCTTCCCCCACGCGAGTCTCTCCAGCTGCCGCAGCTCAGGAACGCCCCCCTGCTTGCGGCTGCAGAGAGCGACGCGTCGCAGCTTGCAGCCTTCCGCGCGTCTCTGGCGAAGTCTTACAAAACGGCCAGGGCTGAGGCTGTCGTCGAGCTGTCCGTACAGCCGGATGCGCAAGTGGCCTCTACCGAGTGGCGTGATCTGAGAGCTTCCGAGCACCTTTCAGTGCGGTGGAAGAGCAGTAGCAGCGCGTTCGAATGTGGCATCCTCCTCTGCACCGCCAGAAAAAGGCAGCAACAGCTGCAGCAACAGCAGCGCCTCTGGGGAACCAGGGAGAAACAGCTGCTGCGGCAAGTGCTCTCCCGTCTGCCTCCCACAGAGAGTCCAGCTGCCGCTCCTGCTGCTGCTGCTGCTGCTGCTGCTGCTGCTGCTGCTGCTGCAGGAGCTCCTCAAGAGTCTCGACAGACTGCTGCGGGAAGCAACAGAGCGATGCCGATGCCGATGCCGCCTGCTGCAGCAGCAGCAGCAACAGCAACAGCAGCAGCAGCGGCAGCGGCGGCGGCGTCCGGCGGCGGCGGCTCCTCCGGCACGCCTGCTGCAGCAGCTGCAGCTGCTGCAGCAGCTGCTGCTGCTGACAGCGGCGTTGGCAGTCGTCGCCGCACGGCAGCCCCCTCAGTACCGTCAACAGCGTCGCATGCACGAGCCGTTTGTCCTTCAGGCATCGTTTCCGCGAGTAAAGCCGTAATGCAGCAGCAGCAGCTTAGCAGCAGCTGTCTTGCTGCTCTTGAGTCTGGCACCCTGCGGCTGCAAGTAGCGCCTTTTGCGACGCTGTATGGCCTACATCGTGGAATCCTCTTCCTCATGACGTATCGCCGACTGTACGGCTTTCCTTTTCTTTGGCCAGTAGCCTCACTTTTTCTCCCTCCTGGCGTGGCATCTGCGGAGGCAGAAGCGTCTAGACAGCGCGCAGCTGCTCGCCATGCTGCCCATGCGGCTAGCAGCGTGAAGAGCCGCATCAGACGTTCTCTACCCCTGCCTCGCGGCATTCCTTTCTCCCTGTCTGCCGCCATTGCAGCAGAACGTCGTGTAGCAGCTGCTGCTGCTGCCACGCAGCTGCAGCTGCTGCTGCCCCCCGTCCATGCCACCCTCCAGCTGGCTGCTGCACCTGTACGAAACGGTCCTCTAGTCAGCTCCGATCTGCAGCTGCTGTGGGGGCAACTGCGGCAGCAGCAGCTGCAGCAGCAGATGGAGGAGCAGGAGCAGCAACAGCAGCAACGCCAGCAGCAGCAAAGCACGCTCTCCCCGCCGTTGGCATGCGATTCAGATGCAGCAACAGCGGCATCTGCAGAAACTGCATCTGCATCTGCGACAGCAACAGCAACAACTGCATCTGCAGCAGCAACAGCAACAACTGCATCTGCAACAGCAACAGCAACAACTGCAACAGCAACAATAGCAACAACAGCATCTGCAACAGCAACAGCAACAATAGCAACAACATCATCTGCAACAACAGCGCCAACAACAAGTGAAAATGGCGAACCACAGCAACAACAACCACATACCCACCAGCTAGTCCTTCTGCCACGCAGCACATCACGTCCTCCAGCAAAGCCTCCAAGCGATGTATTGGCGATATCGCCTCCCAGCGGCATCCTCAGGTGTAACGTCAGCAGCAGCACGGTTGCGTCTGCTGCAGCAGCAGCAGCTGCTGCTGCTGCTTTCCCCCCAGGCCTCTTGATGGAGGAGCCGTTCTCCGCGCGGAGGCTTGCAGCAGCTGCACACGAATACTTAAACTGCTATTTGATGCCGCATCAGCTCGGCAGCAGCACATCACGCACTGCTGGTGACAGCGAAATTTACTCCAACTTCGGTAACACCATCACGCAGGCTGCTGCTGCTGTTTCTTCTGAGCGCAGTAGCATGAAAACACCCCACAGCTTGGCATCCGCCTTTTCCACTCGCAGCAGCAACAACAGCAGCAACATCTGCAGCAGCAGCAACAACAAAAACACGCAAGTCGCACCTGCAGTGCTCCGAGCGATCGCTTACAGCCCTTGCAGCGTCTGTGCTGGACGCTGCGGCTCGTTGCCGCTTCTGCATCAAGATCAACAGGCCATATGTAAGCTTCTAGCATTCTTTCTGTTTGCTACTGCGCTCTCCTTTAGACTCCCCACACAGCGAAACGCCGAAACTGAAGTGCCCTGTACATCATACATGCGTCCTTGGATGGGCACCTCCAATGAGGGGATGCAGACGGCTGCTCCCTATTTACCTATGCGCGTATATCGCACACTTTTCCATTTCGATTCAAAGAGAAAAGATCACCCATCAAAGGGGATCTCTGTACATGGACAAAAGACGGAGAGCAGGGAAGGGAAGGGAAGGGAAGGAAAGGGAAGGAAAGGGAAGGAAAGGGAAGGAAAGGGAAGGGAAGGGAAGAAAATTGTCTTTTATTCTTTCGCTGTCTTATTCTTTCGTTCTCTTTCTCTCTCTGTCATTCTTTTGCTCTCTTATTCTTTCGTTCTCTTTCCCTCTTTGTTATTCTTTCGCTCTGTTATTCTTTCGCTCTCTTATTCATTCGCTCTCTTCCTCTCTCTTTCTCTCTGTGATTCTTTCGCTCTCTTATTCATTCGCTCTCTTATTCATTCGCTCTCTTCCTCCCTCTTTCGCTCTCTTATTCTTTCGCTCTCTTATTTTTTCCTTCGCTTTCTCTTTCGTGTTTCGCTCTCCCCGCTCTACCGTTGCATACTGTGTACAACGAAGGCCGCTGTGCGCATCTATAGGTGCTTCCGCCTAGGTGTGAACAATCCTATATATATATTAATATATATATATTCATTCATACATTTAACTCAGTGGCGAGGCAGGTTGCGCTGGTTGGTAGCCGCTTTGTACTCGAGAGCTTCAAGAGCAACGCAGCTGCTGCTCCTGGGGAACTGTTTCGCGGAGCAAAACTTCATTGCTGCTGCTACTGATACTACTACTGATACTACTACTGATACTACTACTGATACTGCTACTACTACTGATACTACTACTGCTACTACTACTGATACTGATACTACTACTGCTGCTACTAATGCTAATACTACTCCTACTACTGCTACTCCTACTCTTACCACTCTTGCTGCTAATACTACTACTGTCTGAGTGCACACCGCGGGGGAGAGTTGCATTCTCTCTGCCGAATATTTCAAAGATGCGTGGTGCTGGACTGCGTGCGATGCTGTTGCTGCTGCAGCTGCTGCTTCGGAGTTGGGTTCTGTGTATCGATCCTTTGCGAGCTGGCAGTCGCTCTTCAGCTCGCTTGTTGCGGCAGACAGACTGCCAGAGGCTGTGGATCTCCTCTTGTCACGAAGCGGAGGTGGCAATGCAGCCTCTGCTACGGCTGCTAAGAACACGCTTGCAACCAGTCCTCTTGCTGCAACTGGCGCGTCTATGCCTGCCGCTGCAGACATCGAGCTGCTCGTCAAGCATGCGCTCAATCGACAGCAGCTCAACCCCCTGCTAAGGCTGCTGCGCAGACGACTTCAAGACGGGAGTCAACTTTTCACAGTACGCGCGCTTGCCACTGGCCCTTCACAGTGCAGGGGGATCGCCTGCCATCCGCGCTGCTGCTGCTGCTGCTGTTGCTGCACTTCTGAAGCAAACTCTCGCTGCGAAAATGCGAGCTGCTGCGTTTGATGCCATTGCCTCTGCGACAGCTGCTTCCTCGCCTGTGCTCTTGCCTTTGCTGCACAGCTGGGAAAATATCCTGCTGCTCCTGCAACGCGAGCAGTTCGCGCTGAAGCTTGGCTGCTTCTTCGTGTGTGCTGTGCATGTGCGAGTTGCAGCTTCTACGGAGTTTGCTGCGTTCCCAACGAGCCTTGCGAAGTCTTCAGTTCTGCCACGTGAGCAATGCGCATGCTGCTGCCCGCTGAACCTTTGCATTGCCTAGCAGCAGCAGCTGCTGCTAGGCAATGCAAAGTGCTGCTCTTGAGTAAGAGCCGCTCAAAGCAGCTTTATCAGAAGCAGCGTGCAGACACTCTACAAGGCTTCTCCCTCTGCTGCACACACACAGCCCTCAATAAAGCCTTCCTTTGCACGCTCATCGGTCCCTTTCCCTGCATTCCATACCTCCCTGATGCCCACCTCCGTGAGGAACGGCAGGCAGCTTGCCTGCGTTTTGACAGTTTCAAGAGCCCGTAGATATACACACCATCAACTCCATTAAAGGCCGGTGCTCAATGTACATGTATAAATACATATTTGCGTGTATAGATTTGTATTTATATATGTATGTCTGTATTTAAATATATATACATATATATATATGTACATAGATATATATATATGTAAATAGATATCTATATAAAGATATTTTCATGTGTATGTCTACATGATATGTCTAAATGTCTACATATATACATGAGTGTGTCCAGGAATGTAGATATCTATGTACAACTGTATCTAGATGAATATACCGACGTATACCTTTATATACAGGATTCTATCTGTGTATATTGATTTATATATATTGAGATATCGAAATGACGACATGCTTCTATAAGAACTCCACACGCACCCGAACATCCCGAGAAATCCTATATGCAGGCAGACTGCAGCCTTTTGGTATGTGTATGTGTGTGTGCTCTCTTCAGCTGATAGAAGGGAATTACTTGAATGCTGGACTATTGGATTTGCTGCTCTGCCTGCATGAGGCTTTGGCGACTCCTCCATTTAAGGATCAAGCTCAAGCTGCGGGAGCTGAGCATCCCTCTGCCTCTCCTGCTCTTAAGTGGGACTACTTTCACGGACTGTTGGAAGAAGCTCTCTCCCTGCTTTCTGCAGCTCTGCAGAAGAAGCGTCAGTCCAGGATGTAAGACAGAGTGCAGCGCTATCCCGTCGTCGAGGTTGGCAGAGCTGGAAATGTTTTTGAGAAGCTTGGCGTTCCTCCTGCGTGCCAGTGCCAGCCCACGCGGGGCGACGCTTGACATGCGGATGTCTTCTTTTCACGAGGCCAAAGGCTGGAGCTCCAAGCCTCTCTGGAGTGAGAGGCGCAGTGTGGTTTGTGCGTCTGCGCAGCGACAACGTCTCCTCAGACACCCACAAGCAGCCGAAGAAACAATGCGAGACTGCAGCAGGAGGCAACCTTGCTCCTGTGGCTCACGCAGACGCTGCCGCTGCTGCAGCGGATGGTAAGCGTCCATGGCCGCCTCGCCTTCAGCCACAAGGCTTTTCGCAAGCGTCTGTGCGGAATCTGTCTGACTCTCATGCAGCAGCCAAGGAGAGTGATGAAGATGCAACAGCAGCAGCGGGAGGGGGAGGAATTCTTGTTACGCCGCAAGATTGCGGCAGCAAGGATACAGCTGCTGACACGAAGGATATGGCCTTGGTGCTAACAGCAGCATCCGCAGGCGAGACACGACTTGTCAGACAGCGGAAAGCAGAGGGGGGACCGAGGCTTCTGCAGCTTGCTGATGAGAGAGACGTGTCTTTGGAAGAGGTGTGCTGCTATGACTGTGTTGCCGCTGCATCTGCAGTGTTGCTGCTGTGCTCGTGGTGGAGATGAGGTCGGCGGGAGTGGTGTTGGTGCTCTTCTTGATGGTGGAAATGATGCCAGTGGTGATAGTGATGGAGGTGATGGTGTTTCTTGTTTTTTGCCAGTGGCGATTTTCCTTGTGGACACGAGTCGTAGAGACTGCTGCTGTAGCAACGTGTCTGCGGTTGTATTTAATTCGTGTCTGCGCTGTTGCCTGGGTAATATGTTTCTGCCATTTGGGCGTGCGGCTACTGACGCAGGTAGATGAAAGCGATTTGCGGGAGCTGATCGAGCTGGCTGCACTCCAGCAGCAGTGCTGCAGCAGTGTGCCGAGCTGCTGTGGCAACTGGTCGCTTTTGCTGCAGCAGCAGGAGCAGAGAGTTCGACTGTGCGTGCTGCTGTTGCTTCAGCAGCAGCAGCAGCTTGCTGCACGCGTGCTGCAGCTCTGCGGGCTCAATGCTCTTGAGGTGTACGTACAGGCTGTGCACCTGCTCGCCAGCAAGACCCGCAGTATTTATGCGGTGAGTGCGTCCCCTCAGGCTTGAGCGATATTTGTTCCTGCGTGCGCTGCTGCTGCGGTGTCTGCTGGCGTGTTCTTTTCTTCGTTCGCTGCAGTTAGGAGCACTGGGAGGGATGCGGCTGCTGCATTCGTTAGGTCCGAAACTAGAAAACATTCCAAGACTCGCGGGGGTGGGCTGCACCGAGCGATTCTGGTGCTGCCGCTTGTGCCGTCCTTCTGCTGCTGCTGCAGATGAGAACCTTACTGTCTGAGGCACGGCAGCACCTGTCCGCTGCCGAGTCTGACTTGCTATTGGGCCTCTCCATTAGGGGGTGGGTGCTGCAGCAAGGGATGCAAAGCAAGGAGAAACTGCTCGACCTAGATAGTCTCGTATGCCTCATAAGATCGCCTGTTGCTGTCATGGATACGCGGCTGTTCCTCGCTGCGCTGCCGCTGCAGCAGCAGCAAGGCCAGCAACACGGGCTGCAGCAGGTTGGTGCCTCCTCGTTTTCTGTAGCGCAAGAGCCGTCCTTCTCTCACCAGCAAGTGAAACTCTGTGTGGACATGGCGACGGAGCTGAATGACAAGTCTATGCTGGAGCGGTGCAGAGACGCTGCCCGCCACTTGGGAGACCTCCCTCTACTGGATTACATCAACGCCAAGTATTTGCTATTGCAGAGGACCAACTGCAGCACCACCACCGCAAAGGGAAAGAAGTAGAACCCTCCGCGTCGGTCGTCAATGCAGACTTTTGCACTGCACCACACACACCGGCAAATTCCATAGACGCGCTGTTGTTGAAGGCTTTAAACATGCAGGCCTGAGCTTCTTGGCCATGCCCTCTGTAACAGCGCATAATCTAGGGTCTTCCTACGTCAACTCCAGACTTGTTACAAACTTACCAGAAAGCTACACAGTGCCTTCAATGGACGCTAGTCTGTCTCACCCTCTTTCCAGGAACCCCCAACATGCGGGGAGAGAAACAGCACCGAGGCTGCGCATTGCTGCACCCTTGAAGCAGTTCAAGCATTCAGAGCCACCTGCCCATTGCATCGCGCATACACGCACTCCATTGCAAATTTCATGCTAAAAGTACTCTGCAATGAAAAAAATCGACGAACCCGGAAATACCCACTACGCGATTCTATACCAGCTCTCATATTTCCATATACCGAAGTTGGTAAAAAGTGATGAGTGCAGCCCAGCGTAGCTTGCCATACACTCGAAGTAAGGCATGGGTTGCAGGGTAAGCCTACCAGAAGATACAAAGGGCGTTCCGAAAGGCGGCATGTTTGCTTGCCCATTATGGCATGCCAAAGCCATGTGGATGGATGCTTTTAGAGACTGCTCTTGCAATTCTCTGCGTAGCCTAGAGCTTCGGGTCCTTTATTTGGAGGGGCTCACAGCTGCTATGGGAGTTTTGTAGATCGGTGTCTGCTGATTTTCCCTTTCAGTACTCTCTTTGTCTAGCAGAAGCGAGTTTCACTGTGGGCATAAGTCCCAGGGTGTTGAGAGCACTGGTTTGTGTACTGGTAAGCCTTAGGACATATCTGCAATCCTGGTGAGTTTCTAAGTGTTTTTTGGGGCTTGAATACGCGGAAAAAAACAAGCAAATGAAGGGCATGGGTAGGCTCAGGAGTGCTAATGCCTTTGGAGCAAGGCGTTTGGGCTATTGCATAGAGTTCTACAGCTCTCCGTGAGGCGGACCAAGAAGATCACAAGCAAGACGCGAATGCATGCGACATCAAGGACTCTTCGCAGAGATTCTACACGAAAATTGATGCCGAAAATCAATGGGAGACAGGTGTGGAACCTCATGAGAGCCCAGCACGCAGAGCTCTCTCAGAGGCAAATCGCGCATGAGAAGAAGGGGGGACCTCCCTCAGCAGGGGATTAAGGCTACTCGTGTAGTTTGGTCCAGAGTGGGGTTTAGGGTTGGGATTAAGCATCCTTTGTCTAGTCCAAACCTTAAGAAATTTTTTTCGATCTTGCAGTGGAGGATAAAGCGCAGACAGGAAACCGTTTGGTATATCGCCCTTGGCTCCGACCGTCGCCGTCGCTGGCACCACACCTGAGACGGAAGCTCAATCCGAATTTTCAGACCCCGAACCCTGAAATTTCATGACTGGACTTTGAAATAGGGCACTTTATGAGCATTCATGTTGCTTTCCGACCTGTTTACTGTCATTAGGCACTATGGTTTGCGAGAGTTCCCTCCGGGAGCGCACAAACAGCAACAAGATTATTGTTGCTGCGTGTCAGTTGTAGGCTAGATGTACTTGAACTCTCGCGGCTCAGATCACTATTCCCGGAGCCCTGTGTGTTTCCGCACATTTACGCCTCCACACGCCACCCCCCTTCCCACCTTCCCTCCATTCCCCAACGCCTCATGTAAAACACAGGCTCTTCGACACATCACGCAACTCCGTTGCCTGGTGCTGATCCCTCAGCTCTTGCCCAAAGATCAAGGGCCCTCATAAACACGGAGTGCCTCCTGTATGTCGCTCTCTTTCTGGTGCTTTCAACCCTGCGCTACTGCGTTCAAATACGTAGCTGTCCACCAACACGCTTCGCCGCATGTTGCTGGAGCAGCACCAACAGCAGCCCAAGCAGCGGCAGCACAAGCGTCTCACGAGCAGCGGCAGTAGCAGCTATGCCAGAGCTACTTGCCTCGCACGCGCCATGCTCCAAGCAGACTCCAGCCTCCTCGATCTCCCTGACGCCATAGAGCATCCACGATCGCGCCAGCAACAGCAAACTCCGCTGTCTCGACAGCCGCAGCACCGCAAGCAGCTGCCTCGACAGCAGCAGCCCATGGAAGCAACAGAACAGGAAGCTCTCACGGGGAAGGCTCCTCCCCTCTGCCGCCTCCTCTCACTAAACGATCCACTGCAGTCCATCAAGACCGAACTCAGCGTGTAAACCTCGTAAAGACGCAAAAAAAACACCTAACTGCTTTGACGCATGCATGTGGTATAATTGCATAGTCTTAAAGCTGCACACACACATACACAAACACAAATACACACATACACACACACACACACACACACACACACACACACAAATACACATATATATATATACATATACATACATACATACATACATACACAAATACACACACACATACACAAATACACAAATACACACACACACACACATCGTCTCCCCCACCTGTCAGTGCCGTCAGTGTACAAGCGCTAAAAGGTGATCTTGTGGTGATCGTGAGCTTTTCGCAGCATGCAGGGCAGTCTTCAGAGAGCTGAGACGGGCTTCCTGCGCTTGCAGCGCCTGCTGCAGCTGCTCCTGCAGCAGCTCACGGAAAAGGCAACTCAATTAGACGTCTGTCTAGGCGCCTTACAGCCTCTAGGCTATTACCTCAATGGTACGAGGCTGCTGCTGGCGGGGCAGTCTAGCGGCTCCCCTGCAGGAGGAAGCCTCAAGAGCTTGGCGAGCAGCAAAGCCGCTACTGCTGGAGGCGTATCGGGAGCAGCTGCTTCTGCTTCCACTCAAGTTTTGTCGGTAGAAGAGAATGACGATCTAGAAAGGCTGAAGCACCCACAGCCACTGCCGCAGTCACCGCACGGACTCCCAAACAAAAATTGTTCGGAGGAGTCTCTCGGCAAGGTGAAATCGGCAGACTCCTCTCCTAATGCAGAGGTGGGAAGCCAGCAGACAGCAGGGAAGGCTGACAGGATGGAGACGCCAGTTGATACACCTGAAGCAGCCAGTATTGCGCTTTCGAAGGACGCCGTATTGGCTCCCGCGATTGAATATTCAGCATCGGCAGCACTTGGAGCAGCACCTGCTGACGCAACTTGCAGCAGCGGTGCTGCTTTTGCTGCAGCAACAACAGCAGCAGCGGCGCCTCCATGGGTCTTAGCGGCAGTCGAAGACTCGTCAGCGGCAGAGAGCAAACGTCCCCTCCCTGCTGCCTCCGAGAAGCGTCAAAAGAGAAAGCCTCTTCCGACAGATGCCTCAGCCGTCGCACTTGATCCAGCTTCAACCGCGAAGCGGAGGAAGCCGCTCTTGCCTGCAGGCACACACGAGCAGCACCAAAGTGTAGCGCAGCCGTCAAAACACACAGTACAAGTGCAGCAGTGTGGGGATAGCGCAGCGACAGCTCAAACAACGGCAACAGCGTCAGACAAGGCCGAACCAGTCAGTCCGTTTCAGCCTGCTGGATTGAGCACAGCTAAGATGAGTGCAAGATCGGCAGCAAGAGGATCAGCGCAGGCAAAAAGCGACGCAAGGAGTGACACTTCCACATCGCTTGCTGCATGCATGTCTCTCCCACGCTCGACAACACTACCAGCTCCCGCAGCAAAAACACCACGGGCAGTTGCTGCTGACTCGCCGCTGCAGCACTCCACGTTTTTATTGCCGCAGCAGCCGAGAGATCCAGCAGCAGCATCGCCAACAACAGCAGCAACAGCAACAGCAGCAGCTCCGACAAGGTTAGGACCAAGTGACGCAACACCAGAAGAAGAAGCAACGAACAAGACGAAAGACGACGCCAGTCCCCCCGCAACTGCCACCCCTTCGGCTGCACCTTGCGCTTCTCTAGCGCATGCAGCACCTGCTTCTACACCGTCTACAGGCACCACCCCTGCAGCAGCAGCAGCAGCAGCTGCTACAGCTGCTGCTGCAGCTGCTGCTGCTCAGCACGCGACAGGGCAGCAGCTGCCCCAAGGGCATCAGCGGCTGCTCCTGCAGCGTCGCAATGCGCAGCGGCAAAATGCGCAGCAGCAAAATGCGCCCAAACTCCCTGCTGCTGCTACGCAGCTGCCGCGAAGGCTGTCAGAGGCGGAGACACTGCCTAAAGGTGTGCCGAACAGACAGCTGACTGCAGCGAAGCATGGACAGCAGCGCGCATCTGAGGAGCAGCATGAGAAGCAGAAGCAGCTGCTGCAAAAGCGTCTGAGGCAGCGGCTAGAGCAACAGCAGAGACGCAGAACAAGGGCTGTGCAACCTGGAGGCACACAACGCCTGGAGAAGGCTTCCCAGAGAGGCAGCAGTATCAGCAACAGCAACAGCAACAGCAACAGCAACAGCAACAGCAGCAGCAACAGCAGCAGTATCAGCAAGAGCAACAGTATCAACAACAGTATCAACAACAGCAACAGTATCAGCAACAGCAACAGCAACAGCAACAGCAGCAGTATCAGCAACAGCAGCAGTATCAGCAACAGTATCAGCAACAGCAACAGCAACAGCAACAGCAACAGCAGCAGTATAAGCAACAGCAACAGCAACAGCAACAGTATCAACAACAGTATCAGCAACAGCAGCGAGGGAGAAGAAGCCACACATTCGCCTCCTTTGAAGGGCGGCTCCGCATGCCCGAGCAGAAGGAGCATCAACAAAAGCAGGAAGAGCCTTCGCAGCAGTGGACGCCATCACGGCAGCAATCCAAACAATTCTAGCCGCTGCAGCGCCTTCCCCGCCGCAGGAGGCAGTAGGCAGTCGGCTAGCGGTGGGGGGGGGACGGCGACTGCACGGAGATCTCATGCGGATTTGAAGTCGCGATCTCTGCACATAGAGGCGAGCGCTGCTGCACTTGCAGCAGCCGAGGATGCAGCAGAGACAGTCAAGAAACTGTCGAACCTGGCAGTCCTAAGAGCGATAGGAAGCAGTGGGTGCAGCAGTCCTTTTGCCAGCGTGGAAGCAGGGAACGCTGCTGCAAGGCTTGCGTCGAAACAGCCGCAAAGCACTTTAGACTCAAGCGCAGGAGGTGCTTTTGGTGCATGCGCGTCAGAGCTCCTGCCCGCACATTCCAAGGCAGGCAGCGCTGCGAAGACTGCTGCCGAAGCCGCTAGTGCCTCCGGCACGTCTTCTGCTGCAACACTCTTCGCCAGGAAGCCCTCAAGATCCGCGATAAATTGTTTCTCCCCTGCGTCGACATCTACGCAGCGCACCGCCTCGACGCCAGCAAGAAGGTCGGCGAGAAGAGGCTTGCGCTCTTTGCCAGAAGCGGAGAGCAGCGACAAAGATCCCTGGCTGCCAGCGAACTCAGCGAGCAGCTCGCCACGTCTGAGTGCGTCGTTCGCCTTCGAAAGAACGCGGGAGCCTCGGAAGACGCCTCCAGGAGCGGCTCCTCTGGAGCCGCTGTCTGGAGGCTCAGCTGCAGCAGCCAAGGCACACGCATCCGCCGCTCGACAGTGGTCTCCCTGGATGACGCACAGTTCGCTCGACGGCAGACGCATGCGTTGCAACCGTTCGACAACGGCTACAGACAGCTGGAGAGTCTCCAGCGCAAGGAAGCATCCAACAGAGGAGGGGCAGCATAGGCGGCGTGATGCCCGTATGACAAACCGTGCAACTGGGAGAAGCTTCTCGGGAGTTGTGCCTTCTGCCCCCAGGTGCTCTCGCAGAAGCAGCAGCAGCAGAAAATTCAGCGAAACCAGCAGCCGCAGAAACAAGTGTCGCGGAAGCTCGGGGGGGAGGGGCGGGAAGGCTGAGCCTTGGTGGCTGGGGAGATACAGAAGCAGCAGCAGCAGCCGCAGCCGCAGGCTCAGCAGCAGTGACACCCTCAGCAGGCGTGACAAGGAGCTTCCTAGAGAGAGGCAGGAGTTCCCCTACCCCAGCAGTGGCAGCAGCAGTGGCAGCAGCAGTGGCAGCTGCAGCTGCAGCAGCTGCAGCAGCGGCAGCAGCGGCAGCCGCCGCTGCTGCCAGCAAAGACGTCGAAGACTTGGTGCGCACTACGCAGAGAGACTTCAGCGGGAGCCTTTCACGACTCCCCTCCCCCCCCCGTCTTTGCATGCCCAGCAGCACCAGGGAATGCAGCAGCACGTTTCACAGGCGTCATACCCCGCCGCAGAGAGTGCCTTCTCGCGGGAGGAGAACTCGCGTAACACCAGCAGCAGCAGCAACAGCAGCAGCAGAGAAGCAATACGGGCTTGTGGGGGAAGCAGCTTGCACAGCGACACCAACTCGCCGTCTGCCCTTTTGCTGCGCGGCAGGATTTGCAACAGCACTCCCAGCAGCAGGATGCGCTCCTTTGGAAGCAGCTGCAAAAGCTCCAACACAACAAACGCGCGTCCTTCTTGTCGCATCAACACGTCCACATTCAGGAGGCAGCAGCGCACCGACGCCAGCACCGACCTGACGCCTCACCTCGAAGGCTGCAACACTTGCACAAACTCCATGGCTAGCAGTTCTGCGCGTGCCTGCGGTAGCCGCTGGGAAACACAACGTCCAGCTGCTGCCGCAGTGAACAGGGAGGCTAGAGGCACTGCCAGTGCCAACAAAAACAGCAGCTCTCAAAGCTTCGCCACCCTTTCGACGGACTGCATTGCGCTGCACGCAGAAACAGCCGACAGCGCTGCATCCGCAGCAGCAACAGCAACTTCTGTCGAAGACGCGGAAACGGGGGCTGTTGGCTGCTGCAGCGGCCACAACCTGCAACAGCAGCAGCAACCAAAGGAACTGAAGAAGCAGCAGCTGCTGCTGCTGCAAGGCAAGCACATACAGCAGCAGCAATACGGCGAGCACATACAGCAGCAGCAGCAATACGGCGAGCACATGCAGCAGCAGCAGCAGCAGCAGCAATACGGCGAGCACATGCAGCAGCAGCAGCAGCAGCAGCAGCAATACGGCGAGCACATACAGCAGCAGCAGCACCAGCAGCAGCAGCAGCAAGGCAAGCACATGCAGCAGCAGCAGCAGCAGCACGACTCTGTAGCGTCTGCAATAGTCTCTGCGATGGCTGTCACGCCGCTGCTCGAGGAGGATAGCCAACGCTGCAGCAGCAGCAGCAGCAGCACGGCGACCCCTACCTCCATTACCAAAGCAATGCAACGCTGCCACGACGCTGCAGACAGCAGAAACACTGTGAGGCTCACGGATTACTGCAGCATGCCGCTGAGGCTTCAACAGGCAGAAGAGAACAGTCCGTCGCAGAAGCAGCACGAGAAGCCTCCATGTTTCGTTGACATTCCTGTTGCCTCTGACTCGGCAGAAGCAACAGCAGCTACGGGAAAAGCAGCAACAGCTCTTCCGTGTTTATCAACAGCAGCAGACGATTGCCAAGCACTGTGCGCTTCTTCAAGCAGACGCGCCGACGGAAGCGTCATTGCTGACTGCTGCGCTCTTAGAAGGGCCCTAGAAGACACGTCTCCGGTAATTTCTTGCATGTCAATTATCTGTGAGGGCGTGACTGTACAAATACAGAAAGCTTGCGCCGCCGCTCTAACCTCGGCTCTCTGTGCTTGCTGACGTAGCTGTGGACAGATGGGAATACTAACAGACACACTGCACCGTGCTCATATTCAGACACCCAGCTGTTCGACTGTGTTTGTGTGTTTGTGTGTTTGTGTTTGTGTGTGTGTGTTTGTGTGTGTGTGTTTGTGTGTGTGTGTTTGTTTGTGTGTGTTTGTGTGTGTTTGTGTGTGTTTGTGTGTGTGTGTGTGTGTGTGTGTGTGTGTGTGTGTGTGTGTGTTTGTGCATTCACACTTTTTCATGGATGATGACGCAAGCAAACGCTTGAATCTATATTATAGGCATACTGAATTTCTACACAGACTTATGAGGATGTCATGCATTTCACATTACTTACAAGCACACTTGGACGGGAATTTCCGTTGTTGCCCATGTGGGGTGTATGTGCAGGCTCCTTCAGAGATCGACTTGCTCCTCAAGGCGGCACGGCAACTGTTGTTGCACGAAGCCTCACAAGAAACCTTAATGCGCTGTCTTAAAGTCGGCCAGCTTCCTCGACTTCGGTGTTTTTTCCTTGCGATGTCAGAGCTGTGTAGATGATCCTCTTTTACTATATGCCTCTTCTACGGCAAAATCAGCATCCTGCCCCTCCCTACCCAGTACCGTCTGCTCGTAGTGATAGCAGTGCTCTCTTTGTGTGTTTATTACCCGTGCATAAAAGTAGATATATATATATATATGCATACACATAGTTTTAGCTATAACTAGAACCATATAGGTAGGTATACATGTGCATGTCCATGACAATGTCGCTGTGGCATCTGCATGGTGTTTCGGGTGTGGCGTCTTCTCTGCAAGATCGCTTTGCGTAATTTGCCCCTTTTTCAGATACGCGTGTTTACATAAATATCGTTGAGGGCTCTAAGTCCAAAATGTTTCCCGCTGTCGGCTTGTCTCTTCTACAGGCTTTGTGCTGCAATGGACCCCCCTTAAGTGTCGCTAGGAAGTTGTGTTGGTGCTTGCAGGCATCCGGGATTGGTAAGCGCATCCAAGCTCTGGCGCGACAGAAAGACGTAGGGGTGGAAATCCAAGCGGAAGCAAGAACGCTCATTAACAGCCTGAAGGAACGGATTGCTGCAGTGTCGCAGCAGCAGCAGCAGCGTACCACTCAACAGCGCGAGAAGGCACAGCTGCAGCACGAACACCAGCGCCTCCAGCAAGAGCAGTCGCCGGTAGAAGAAAGTGAGCCTCAGGCGTGTGTGCAACAGGTAGAGGAGAAGTCGCCGGGAAATGCCAAGGAACTAGGAGAAGTGAACTGCACGCCCTAAGCGTTTTTGAGAGGAGAGTGAACAGCCGTCGCCGAAAGGCGTGTTTGGATGGGAAGGATGCGAGCAGTCCGTCTCCAGGCGCAGACTCGCTGAGCCGACGAAGGCATCTAGAGGAAATTTTGCTATTCGGTAAAAGGAATATGGATGCAGGCAGCGCGAGATGCGCAGCACGTAATAAATACGGGAGCATACTGACCCAAGCATCTAAAATAGCCTGCATTCACAGAGATAGTACGCACATCTTGAGGCAGCAGAAGCGAGCATGCAGACTAACGGAGGTAGTGAAGCACGGAGCTACGCATAGAGAAAAGGAGAGAGACACCACGGCAGCAAAAGTAGTTTGGAATAGGCAAGCAAGCAGCGCAAGCAGCACAGGCAGCAAAAGCCGCACAAGTCGGCGCACGCGGCGACCGCAACGATGCACAGACTTGTCATAACGAATACAACGAAGCTGCGAGCTAGGCACGCAGAGGAGATCAAGGGGGTAGGTAGGGAGAACTGTATGTAGAATTCAGACACGTTGGACACATGGTGAAACGGCCAGGCAGGCAGAAGAAGGTGCAGACGGACCACAGAGAAACAACCTGTCGCGTATGTGCATGGAAGCGCATGGCGCGAACAGGTTTGTATCTCTCTTATATATAGAGCACCCACGCGTGCAGGCATCGAGAGACGGTGCCTTATACATGAGCGAGAGATACAAGCCTGTTGATCATGCACTTTCGTTCGAATATGTGACAGGTGTTGTTCGTCTTCCCTGCGTTTCGATAGCGCTTGTGGAACGGATGGCGCGTTTGCGTTTGGACGCAATATCCGTACACAGCGATATGCGGGAACAGTAGCAGCACCAGCAGCTGTATCGAGTGGCACGACATCCCAGCAGCAGCTCCAACACGACTGCAGGGTTCAACAGAGGGCCGTTGCTCTCAGAGGCCAAAGCCATCCACAAGTCAGTACAGTCAACGAATCTTTCTGCCTCAGCTCTTATCCTGTGGGTGTGCGTTTCACGTATCAGCCGAGTCTAATGCTATTCGACGTGAAAGGCGTAGGCCGTAAATGTCTTCTAAGCAAAATCTGCGTTTTTACGGTACTACGAGGGTCCGCAACAATTTTCAAAACAGACGACGTTAACAAAGCTCACCAGGTCCCTTCGCGGAACATGCATCGGCAGCACTTTCACGCCATCCTTCCCCCCACCCTTCCCTCCCCGCAAACACCTCCCTCCCAGAGGTTGGCGGCTTTGTTTGGTAGCCGACGCTGGTGTTTAAGATGGTCTCCCCTAGAAGGACGCCCTCCGATCGGACGGCAGAAGTGTGGATGAGCACACGGCTCCAAAAGTTTTGGGAAAAGACTTCTAGAGCCAGCTGCCGATGCTGCTGCAGAATGGCAGTCTGCTGCGTTTACAAAGACACGCGGCTGGAGAACGACGTGCAGAGAAAAGGGCAGAGCCATCCCCGAAGCCCCTACAGTGCTGCTTCTGCAGCCACCACACGCAATCAATGCTTAGACGTAAACGACGCTGCGATCGCGTTACTCCAGCACGCAGAGTCCATTCGGGGTACAAAGGAGAGAATGTAGAGCCTTGTCTCTCTCCCTGCATTCTTCGCAGCAGTAAGTCACCGCTTGACAGTGTGGGCAACGCAAATGACAGGGAGTTGTTTCTCTCTTAAAAGAGGCAACAAATGCTGCGACGTCACAAAACGGCTCGATGCCGCTGCTGCTGCTACTGCTGCTGTTACTATCGCTGCCAGTATGGCTGCTGCAGTTCGCGCTGCACTCGCCACCTACGCCTGCAAGAGGAATGCTTAAGGCTGCCTGTGCTGCTGCCTCTGCTGTCTCGTGCTCTGCGAGTGTGGCTTCAGTTGTTACTTCTTCTCCTGTAAGTGCAGTGGCTGCCTGCGCTTCTTCAGCTGCCGTCTGCGCTTCTTCAGCTGCTGTCTGCGCTTCTTCAGCTGCCGTCTGCGCTTCTTCAGCTGCTGTCTGTTCTTTTGCTGCATCACTGACCATCTTGCTGCCGGGTGCCCCCTGCCTTTGTTTGCGGCGCTTCCCGGCTCGCTGCTGCTTAGGCTGCTGTGTCGGCTGCTGCTTTTGATGGTGTTGTTGTCGCAATTCAGTCTCCAGGTTCCCTAACTGCTTTCCCACGACAGCTTCCCTGAGGTTTGCCAGTAAAAAAGCTGTTCCCAATGTGGAGGAGCCTTCCTGCGAAGGCCCCTCCACATTATACAGGAGTGCACGGTGCAGCCATCTGCTGACGATACCTCCCGTCAGAAGAAGAGACAATGCGCATGGTTTCGTTTGGGGATGGCAATGGATAGGCTGAAGCTGCTCGTCACGCTGCCGCTCCTGCAGTTGCTGTTGCTTCTTCTTGCGCCGCTGCTCCAGCACTTGTCTAAACCTAGAGGTTCTTTCTTTTCTTGCATGCTCTGCTTCTTCCTGCAGCAACTGCAGTTGCTGCTGCTGCAAGTGCCGCTCTATCTCCCAAGGCGCCAGAGGCAGATGATCTCGTTGCTCCCTTGCAGCAGTCAAAGAGGTTTCCGCGTGCTCCGAATTAAAGAGTCGGAGGAACCGTGCCGTATTATCAGATCGCATGCAATACGCACACCCTGCGGCAGAAACCAAACCCTTAAACATCATGGGGGAAATTGTGTCGCATGAAGCCTGTTGTGACTACCTCCTCTCCCCACCAAACTTCATAAGCTCCTTAAAGTGGGTGCAGCCACATGTCCTTCTAAAGTGTTAGCACTCAGTCCCTGCTTTACCTCCTTCGTTAGGCTTAGTACCCCATACGCAACGAGAGGCAATCTCCTCTGGAGACACGCATTCTCCTTTGCGGATGCCTTCACCCAACAGGTTCCACGCTGACTGCTCTCCTGAATGCGAGCACACACCTACCGGCATCAACAGTGCGGACGCAAGGGCATGGATGTGCTACAGACCCTACCTAAACACTACTGTCAAGCATAAAAAGCTTCTACCTCAACAGTACCAAGAGCAGCACGTGGCTCAACAGTACCAAGAGCAGCATAAAGCTCAACAGTACCAAGAGCAGCATGTAGCTCAGCAGTACCGATAGCAGCACGTGGCTCAACAGTACCAAGAGCAGCACGTGGCTCAACAGTACCAAGAGCAGCATAAAGCTCAACAGTACCAAGAGCAGCATGTGGCTCAACAGTACCAAGAGCAGCTTCTACCTCAACAGTACCAAGAGCAGCATGTAGCTCAGCAGTACCAAGAGCAGCACGTGGCTCAACAGTACCGATAGCAGCTTCTACCTCAACAGTACCGATAGCAGCTTCTACCTCAACAGTACCGATAGCAGCTTCTACCTCAACAGTACCGATAGCAGCATGTAGCTCAGCAGTACCGATAGCAGCTTCTACCTCAACAGTACCGATAGCAGCATGTAGCTCAGCAGTACCGATAGCAGCTTCTACCTCAACAGTAGCAAGAGCAGCTTCTACCTCAACAGTACCAGAAGTAGCTTCTACCTCAACAGTAGCGATAGCAGCAAAAACAGGAAGTCTATCGGGGAGAAGCGCAACCGCATGAGCATCACAGAGCCGCCTTCTGTATACCTTGATTCCACTGAGCTGACCACAGCTGTTTACATTCCCTCCACAGTAAAAACCACTGTGTCCTCCTTTGCTTAATGACAGCGAGGCCCCTCTCCTCGCGCTGCAACTCTGCCTGAGTCGAATGCAACACGTTCAGACGGGCAAAACGACAACGTGTGTGGAGGATTTTCGGTATCTCTTGAGCGCCACTTTACTTCCCTAACGCAAACAATTACACGCCAACAACCCTGCCCCCGTTTGGCAGGCAGGTCTATGCAGGCACTGATCATTGAAGGAACGGGAGTCAGCTAGTCACATCGAGTTTCAAACACCCATGGATACACGTATTTTACACATAGAAAAGCACACAAACAAACACATGTAGGCACATCCATCCATATATATATATATATGCATATATATATATATGCATATATATATATGCGCATGCGTAGATACATGTATACATATAGGTGTCAGGCCAGCATACCTCGTTATATCTGCATTGACGTATACATATATATATGCAGCGTGTATGAATTCTTGATTAAGTTTGCTTTAGCATGTATTTGACTGTACGCATAGCTCCTTACAAGAACTTCGGCGACATCTCTGGCAAGCTGCATGTTGGACTCAGCGTGAAGACGAAATTGCCTGTCTTCAAGTGCCTGCAGTAAACGCAGAAAGAAATATTCTGCGGTGTTGCTCCATTTTATTTTTGCTCTCTGCCTTTTTGGTTGGGTGTCTACAGCAGGAAGCTTATTTGGGGGCAGGCCTTTGTTCAGGAGGCACCCCTTCAGAAGCAGGCAGTCGCGTAGTCATAGAATCCTCGGTAGTACAAAGCAACCATGACAAGTACGTGGGTGTATATATAGATATATATATATAGCGGCTCCACGCCTGCATGGTGGCGAAACGTCTGCATGATCGCGCGGAGTTGCGGGAACCACGCCTTTTTCTCTCTCTCTCTCTCCTTTGACTGCGCACACCTTAAGTAGGACCACGAGGTAGTGCAGGAAGAGCTCATTGTCTGGTTTCGCGAGAATCTGACTTCTCAGCTCGTTGAGCTGGAGAGTAAGCGGCAGTGCTGGGGCAGCAGCAAAGAGCGCCAGACCGTTGACTCCCCGAGGATCTGTCGCCTGCTCTTGAAGGCAGAGGTGCAGCAGCGACAACAAGGCTTTCGGATACACCGAAAGAATGAACAGCCACTCCCCCCTGCCTGTTGCAGCACTGCGTTGCGTGCCGTCTGCCGCTGCTGCTGCTGCAGTCGCAGTTGCAGGCGCTGCAGAGATTGCCTGCATGAGGGCTCTCAGCACCGATACGGCCAAAAGGCCTCCTCTGCTGCATGCAATTGCGATCAAAGGCGCAAGTGCGCGCAGAAGGCGGGTGCTGCTGCAGAGAGCAGCGGCTGCAGCCGCAGTAAACTCGGAGGCTGCAAGCGACACAAGCATGTGCAGTGCTGCTACAGCTCTGCACAGTCGGCGCTCCTTCTTTTTGTCTCGATATCCGAAGCAGTTGCCGGCAGCTGTAAGGGCTGCAGGACCTACACCAACAACCCCACCATTACAGCGCAGAAAACACCATAAAGTAGACGTCCTGCAGCAGGCGATGGTAGTGATGATGCGCATCTTCGTCGAAAAAAAGAGGGAGGGAAGAACGCGCTTGTGCTGCTGCCTTCCTGCCCCTGCCTCGCTTCCCCAGTCAACTCGTACAAGGAGCAATCCAGAGAGAGAGAGATAGAGATAGAGTAGATACAGATAGAGATAGAGTAAATACAGATACAGACAGAGATAGAGTAGATAGAGATAGATACAGATAGAGAGAGAGATAGAGATAGATAGAGATAGAGTAGATACAGATAGAGAGAGAGATAGAGTAGATACAGATAGAGAGAGAGAGTAGATACAGATAGAGATAGATACAGATAGAGAGATATATAGATATATAATATACATAAAAGGATGCACGCAGAAACGCAACAGCCACATCCGGGGCGGTCGCTGTAGCATTAGCGCATTCAATGGCTGCAGTCGAGAGGGGTGGCTACCAACCCCCTGCCAGATGCAGGGAGGTGTGTGCCTGCGCCTTTGAGAGGAAATATACTGCAAAATCCTTAGGCCCCTCTCAGAGTCGCTAAAGCAACGGCAGTAGAACGCAAGTCACTCCGGGAGAAGTGGACAGAGAGACAGACAGAGAGACAGGCAGACAGACAGAGAAACAGACAGACAGAGAGACAGGCAGACAGACAGAGAAACAGACAGACAGAGAAACAGACAGAGAGACAGACAGACAGAGAGACAGACAGAGAAACAGACAGACAGAGAGACAAACAGACAGACAGACAGACAGACAGACAGACAGACAGATAACACAGTAGGGCTGAGGAGCAGCGACAGAGAGAGAGAGAGAGAGAGAAAGACAGAGAGAGACAGAGAGAGAGCGAGACGCATCACGAAGCAAGCGCAGCAGAAATCCTCACAAGCATGCTTCAACAGGACTAAAGTTTTCTCCCCCCTGCGTCTGACACACAGGCTGATCGATTTCCGAAGCAGCAGCACCGAGGATAGGAAAGCGCCAAGAATATCGGAAGCATGAAAAAAAGGGGAGAGGGTGGTCAAGTAGACAGCAGCACACGAAGACTTCTTGACGATTTGTGTAAAGTAGCTCAGCTCAGCGCACTCTTGCCGTTGAAGGAAGACTTGAAGTAGTTCTCTCGCAAAGCGTCTGCTTCTTCTTCCGTTGCATAAACAAGCCGTCCAAGCTCCTGCTGCTGCCGCAGTCGTTCTCCCTGAGTTGCCGAATGCTCCTCTTGCTGCTCCTGTGCTGCTGCTGCTGCGTCTGCCGCAACAGCCGCTGCCAAGGCGGAGCTTTCGTCGGCAGCAAGAGAACGCAGATCCTCCAAAGCCAGAAACGCTCCAGCTATCCAGTCTGGCTGTTGCAGCAGCAGCAGCGACAGGTACAGCTGTTGCTGCTGCGCTGCGAACATGATCCCCACCTCTGTAACGTGGTCACTGTGTTGCTGCTGCTGCCGCTGCTGCTGTTGCTGAGTGCAGATGGCGCGGCTTGCGCCGTCGCCATCTGCAGCAGCAGCGCTCTCTCCTGCTGCTGCTGCTGCTGCTGCTGCTGCTGCTGCTGCTGCAGGAGGCCGAAGGGCTTCTTGCAGCAAAGACACCCATGCAGCTTCATGCCACTGCGCACCGGCAACGACGGAGACGTTTTGGCAGTGGAATCCTGCTGCTTGCTGCGTCTGCTGCTGCTGCTGCTCCTGCTGCTGCTGCATCTGCTGTCTCTGCAGCTCCTCCATGGCTGGGGAGGATATGTAGTGCATGAAGTGCAAGAGCAAATCCTGAGAATCCACTTTTCTACTCCGTCGCTTCCGTTCGGCTGCCACGCTCTTAAGACCTTCAATGAGCGCCTTAAAGAGGGCAGGTGTGGCATCACTGTTGCGCGTGCAGGAGCTTGTGCTTTCGGAGGCACCACTTGGAGAGCTTGTCATGGGTGGTTCGCTACCGCTTCTGCTGCGTGCTTGAGCCGAGTCGCTGACGCTCTGTCTGCCGCCGCTGGCAAGTGGTGGGGAAGCTGTAGCAGCTGCCTGTTCTGCAGCGGCAATCGCTGCCGCTCCAGCGGAAGCGGCAGACCGCTCGTGTTTGGTATCCTCCGATCTGTTTCGAGCTGCTCTTTTCTTGCGAGCCATTTCGGTAGGAGAGTACGTTCAAAACTCGACAGCCTTGAAAAAATGACTAAAACGGACGAAATACGTGAGGGGGACTGCAGCAGGAGGCTCACACACCTCTCTCTTTCCCACTGACTGCTACCGCGCCGAGCTTCAGCCGGATGGATTTTTTAAACGGTGTCGCGGACGAAGGAAGACAGAAAAAAAGGCATTTAGGCAAAGGGTTTGAGAGTTCACGCGCGGCGCGAGGCATTCATTTGGGCTCCTACTGCTCTGCTTCGCCCCAGCGATTTACGGAGTTGGCGTTTTGCAACGCAGTGTCACGATCGTCTACGTAAAAAAGGCCTCTCTGAGGTGTTAAGACCAGATGAAGAGCGCACAAGCCGTCGACGTGCGTGGTTTTGGTCGGGGATTTAAAGGTCTCACCGATTCCAAGTAGAGCATGCGGTTCGATACTCACCCCAAACCCTCTAGACAGAATCAGAGGTTTTAGCACCACGGCGCATCGCCATTGCTGTATTACCTTAAGCAAATTGAAAACGTCGTTTCGCTCTACGGCGTCGCTTTGTTCCCCCCTGCAGTTATGGAGGGCTAAAAATCTACCTATGCCTTGGGGTTGGGGTGTGTTCAAACGGTACGTACTAGGGTCAAGGCTACAATTTGCGACTTGCGCCTCACAAGTCATACAATTTAATTACTTTTACTCTTTTCTTACATTCCATGAATTTCAGAGACTGTTATTTTGGTTTGAGACGTATTCGCTGTCGCTTTCAGGTTTTCTCAGAGCACGTGATGTCAGCAGACACACACAACAGGGACTGGCGGTGGGGCTGAAGGAAATGGGGCATCGTATCTGGATGAACAACTTATAAATCCCCTATATATATTTTTGCGGCGAGTAGTTAAAGGAAACAAAGTTTTTGGTAGCTACTACGCGAAGATGCCGCCAACAAAAGCTATTTGGAGGGGCTGTTTCTGCAAGCTGGCATCTCGCCGTCTCGCTGCCCCTAGCAGCTATGTACTGCGATAAAATATACCCCTAGCGCGGTGCTCTAGTGTACACTGAGGCCAAACGTTTGTAATATTTCTACGTAAGTGCCAGCAGACACTTCATGCAATCTCACCACTGAAACAGGTGGGGGGTCGAGTGTGTTGCCCTGTGATCTGACACCACAAGGGTACACAGACGTCAGCGCGTCTGAGGGGAGAGGAAGAACAAGGATGCAAGTTGCAGTAATGTGAAGAAAAGCATGTGATGTGTGGCGGGCTTCATTACGCTTCTACAATTCCTACCACGCAGTCATAGTTCACCAAGCATCCGTCAGATCCGAGGGTCCATTCCCCCTCAGTCCACCCTTTGCTTCCTTGTCCTTCTCTGTGCAGCTCCTTTTCTGTGTCTTTCCGCTGATCTATCTTGTCTATCCGCCTATCTCGTTTAGTGCAGAGTACTCTTACCTCAATACGAGGAGAGACAGTGAAATGTGTATGCATGCTTCATATTATGTGCAACTAGATGTGAGTGCATCCTGGGGTGCTTGAAAGGTACAGCCACGAGCTCCCTAGCGGCCTCTCTTCCCTCATGGTGGGACCTTGAGAAGCGCGTGCAGAAGAAGGCAGGAGCTCTTTTGTTAAGACGCTCAAAATAATTTTTCCTACTTTAACATCAAGTTAAGTTTCTGTCCAAGGCATCCTTGGAGGGAACGTAACACCCTTGCATTTTCTCGGGTCAAGTTAGGACTGCTGTGCAATAACGAAGGTCCACGAATACACAAATCAACTAGTAAATCCTTCACTGATTTTTTATCGATACCAGGCTAGTAGCACGTGCTCAAGTGTAGCTCAGGCTGCTACATTTTCCCGAAAAAATGCAGTGACTGCAGGGCTGGCTGAAGACCGTGTTTTTTTGTCGTTAAATTTTCCATGCACACTCGAAGAGGTTTAGCTGACCAAAAAACACTGGTGCGGCCCTAACGATGGGTAAGATTCGATCCGCCCTTCACCCTGCTGGAGATGCATGTTGCTTTGTACTCCCCAAACAAAAAAAGCAAGTACTTCTTTCAATCCATATGAGGGTGAAACGCATTTTTGGTAGGTTTACTAATCTAGAGAAAGTTGCTTGCCTGCAGGGAGAAACTACGGTTTATGTCTGCATACACCTTGTCTCGATCCATGCGGAGACCAGCTTATCAGCAAGCTAAAAAGCTGACGCAGAGGCAGCTACTAGTAGATGGGTATCGGAAAGAGAATTTGACTTGTAAAAGCCGCAAGGTAGACGAGCAGCTGCCGTATAAGTGTTTTACGTGGCTCTACCTGAAGCATTACTTCAGGTGGTCGCAGGCTGGGCAGCGACTCAGAACAGCGATTCAACAACAAACTAGTGGGGCCTTTACCATGATGGACTCCTTCAGGAACAGTTGAGCGCGACCTCTGCCCCGTTGACTGGAAAGGAAGAGCCATCTTTGTAGCTGTTATCTGTGTATGTCGGGGCCGTGTTGGCCCGCTTTATCCGGCAGTCAAAAGGAACGCGAAAAAATATAAGGAGGGAACGGCTTGAGAACCCCTGATGTCTTACCAACAACGCACCTACTTCTACTGTGGAAAACTGAAATCCTACACTCCTGAACTGCAAGCGCATGCAAGCAGTCAAAGAACTTGGGCAACTGGACTGAACCAGCGAAATCAGGGTGCTTGGAGAGCAAAGAAAGCGCGTTAGGGAAATGTTTACGCAGGCTGTGGCGCAGCGAAGAAGGCCACACAGAACAGAACAACAGTTGGACGCCCACCATGGTTCAATTCTGCGCCAATCCAGATTCCCAACATTGGCCAGAAATCAGTAACGCTGCTTAACACTGGGTGTGGGAATGTGTTTATCCGAGGAGACGATACAGAGGTGTAACATGCCTGTTCACTCCTTAGCGCAGTTCCTAAGAGTCAGGTTTGTTGAAGGGAACTAGGGGGCAAAGACAGGCACGCATCCAGCATTACTGTCATTTCATATAGGATTTTTGTCCTGTCAGCATTCTCCGTGGCTTCTATTTTCGCCCCATGCGGTAATCCTAGGAATACCGTGGGTGACCCAATGGGATGCGCGCATTCTGCGACAGCTGTGCGCGGTCGAGGTTAGTCCGCCAGGAAGCGTTAGGAGGAAGCAGGACCAAGTTTCCTCAATAGCACTTTTCTCTGCTATGCTAGGCGGCTTTGAATCGGTGCCTCAACAAGGCGAGGCAAGGTTTTAATGCGGGCGGCTCAGCAACGCAGTAAGTGAAGACAGTTCTAGTACTGCATTTCGTCTAAATGGCTCTGAGGCCGGCTTATGCTAGAAAATTTTGATTGGACTCTCAGCTAAGAGGCAGCAGGACTAAAGATTTATCAAGGAGCTCGCGGAGATGCTAAATATAACATCTTGTAAGCAAGTTGGCCGCTTGCTGGTCGTCCACCGCATCATGCTAAGCTAACCCGTGAGTCAGTCCCAAGCTATGTTCCGTGCCTGAAAGTTCCCACAACAGGCGGACGAGATTGAGCGGTAGACAGATGATTTGTTGAACTAAATTACATTGCAAAAATCAACCAGCGCTTTTCGACAAAACTCGGCGTTGGTGACGAAAGGACGGATGTGGCGCACGTGTATTACCGCGAAGGCCTCTAGCAAGGCCATTGTGAGAAGGAAGTTTCCGATGCTTTCTATTGGCACACTGCTTGCCTGGTTTGCACCAATCAGCAATCTGCCTGGCATTGGACTTTGCAGACGCCTACTCGAAGAATTGTATCCACCCTGATGACAGGCACAGACAATGTTCCACACTCGCACTCGCAAGTTCAAGTATGCCATATGCTGTTTGGAATCGGCGTTGCCCCAGCTAACTGAAACAGCGAGTTACTTGGGAACTCAATGAATCTGTAAAGGTGGCCAAACGCTTGTTGGCATGAGCAAACTCGTGTTCTTCAGCCAAAACGTCTAAGACCACCTCCAGAAACATACGGCGTGCGCTTCAGGTGCTTCCAGATCAGCGGCGGTATGTGAAACCAAACGCACATTTTGAAAGTTCATCTTCGGTCTCGTAGTATAGCTGCAGGTATTGAGCCGGCTCCCGCAAAAATCAAAGCAATCAAGGTGTGGCACATACCTTTGAGCAACAGTAGGCACGTCGAGAAGTTTTGTGCACTTGGGTCATCGAAGTACAAGCTCATTCTTGGACCAGCACAGATTGCTATTCCTATGACTGCTCCGATTGAGTGTAATTTGTCTGTGGCTTTGATAGAAAAAGCTGCTGTTGCTGCGAGACCGTTTACTGGGCACCTTACAACGCTTCCAGTGCATGCGCCACCCAATAGCAAGGGTACCTTCTCTTCAACAAGCGATACAAGTGATGTGGCGATGGGTGCATATCCCTCGCAATGAATCCGCCAACATATTGCTTGTTAATTTCAATACTTCAACAATATCAGACAGCGGTATCCAATGCGGGCATAGGAATTTTATGGGGATTAGTGAGCTGTGAAAAATGGGAGAACCACTTCTGTGGGGGGCACTTTACTGTCCATACGGATCATCAATCTTTGAGCAGCGAGTTTTCAAGGCTTTGATAATCATGGATTCGTTCACTGGCTTAGGCATCTCCTGCTGAACAGCTTCATAGTGAAGCACAGTAATGGCCTTACCAACGTGGTTGCCAACGCGCCCCCGCAAGGGGAATTGCTGTGCACAGTGCGATTGCTCTTTTCTGTAGCCATCCACCATTTCTGTCGACATTGCCTGCGGCTTTTGTTCACCCACGCATCCAATACTATTGCCAAAACACACATTCTAGAATCGATGAAGCATTACCGCATTGAGGATGGTTTGCTGTGGGTCTAAACACAGCTGGATCTCTGTCGCTTGTACATTTCGACTTTACCCTTCAATGCTGTTTTCTGAAAGCAGATGACCATGCTTCCTGAAGCCACAGTGGTATTCACACTAAAGTTGACGAACTTCCACCGTCCCTCTAGTGGCTTGGGATTTGCGTGCGGCAGAAAATTTGCACTGTCACGCCAGTTGCCAGCAGCTAAGTCGCACCTTTATACTAAACTTGGCCCCTTGCAAGGTCTTTCGGTAATTAAATGACCGGACTGCTCTGAGCACGCACTGCATTGTCAAACTGATGATGTCAAGGGTTAGGCAGGATAGTATCTACGTCGGTCTTGACGGATTCAGTAAATAAACCCATTTCATTCCTTGATGCAGCTGTGTCACAGCTCAGGAAGTTGCTCAACAAATCTTGAACAATATCGTCAATGTTCACAAATTTCCCAGGTGTATTATTACGGATAGATATCCGAAGTTGTTCAGTGTGTTCTGACATGCCTTCATGACCCGCCTAGGCACTGACCATTGTGTAACCATTGCGAACCACCGTGACGCAGATGGAGAGGCGGTGTGCATAGATAGCACTCTTCTGTAGCGTTTGGCACTCTATATTTGCGGAAATCAATTATTTTGCTGGAATTTCTTCCCTGTGCTTCGCGAATTTTCCTAAAGCTTTGCCCCACCTGTGGTATACACCAAGGAGCCTCTCTCCAGTCTTGGCCTGGACCTCGTGGTCTGGGGCTTTCACCTCGCTGAGCAGCGAAGAGGCTCAAAAAATAGCGGGCTTTTGTACGCTAATATATCCGCAAAGATTGAGAGAGACAGACACGCTTCTATGATTAAAGGGGTGGTGGGCTTTGCCTCTAGCCAGGAAACTTCTCTGGTAGCTCGACGGGCATTGCTAGGTTTGCGGTCAGGCGGCTGGAAAAATTTGCGATTCGCTTGAAAAAGGAGATCCTTTTCACACCATCAATCTCCAGTAAAACTGGAATCGGCAAAGAGCTATCAATACTGGCCTCCTGAAGGTTTTAATACGCCTCCAATTATTCACCGACTTTGGCACGCAGGAAAATCACCGGTACGGAGCCGGAGGATCCACAGGGGGCCGTGAAAGGACCAGATTCTAAGCCTATCGAGCGCTGAATACCGACTTTACAAGAATCTCTCGTGAATTTATAGTGGGGAGTGCGTGCCGATGCCAGTGGTCGACGCAGGAGCAGATGCGGGCGGCCTTGCTTGCGGGAGAAAATGAGACTCGGTTTTGTTCACATCACTAGTTGCCATAGATGCTATTCCCTGCGCCCTTTGATGTTACTTGCCAGCGCATTATCGGCCTGAAATATCTAGTTCCACCTATGGGTATTGCTCTAAGAATTCTCCAATACTTATTGTTCAGGCATTGTATGTACTGAGGCTCTCAGGTATGTTGCCTCTACATTGGTCCTGGCGGCTCTCTTGTGGCCAGTATATGAACTATGCTGCCTGCCCCAGTTTACTTACATACTAAGTTGCTCCATACGGTGGTGAGGCACTGCTAACATAGTGTGCACTCTGGTTCCCGTTACCGATTGTATTTGCTTGCTAATACCTTTCAGTGTATGGACGAGGGCGAGCTGTCATGCCGCCGCGGTGGTGTTCCTTTGGGCCCTTGCTCGTTGTTGGTGAGTGTGTGCGGTTTTTCCTTTGACTTCTGCTCAGCGATTGATGGACAAATTGGCGTTTTTCGTATGCTATTCTTCTTGCGTTTTCCCTAACTTGCAGTGTGAGGATGGGGCGAAAATTCTTCGCCGTCACGCATATAAGTGGTATCCGAATACAGACACACAAAACTAGGGTGTGTGCTTCAAGTGGAAGGGAAGCTGCACCTGGCTATGCAATACTTCAACGATATCTGCTAAAGAACGTATATTTATGTAAGTACTGGTCAGGAATTGACTAATTGAATTGTCTATTCGCTTTTTTTTACTGGTGTTGGCCCTCTACAAGAGGGCGCAGTTTTGTGTTCGTGTGCATAAGATACTATGTGGAACTAGCTGTCAATGGATGGAGTACTTTGAGAGTGCAGGGATGACCACCGTAGTTGTCCCTCTTCCCTTATCTGATAGGGAAACCTATGCGGTGGTGGCAGACTAGGAGAACAGCCCTTCTAAAAACACGGAAAAGGTTTCTGTGGTGTTGTTTACTGATTCAGGCATTGAGTGTTTTCCTAAGGAGACATTGAGAGGGATCTACACTGAGGTGGCTCGTTTTAGCTGGGCGCCCGCAGCACTGCTTCGTATTGTATCGAGGCAATGCTACATTGAAATGAATAAGACATGCGAGTTAGCAATACATTGCGTAAACTCAATTCCTTATTATTCCTTAATATAATTGTTACAGTAGAAAGTGCATATACACTGCAGCTTATCCCGCTGCACCGGAACTTCATCGCTCACTGCCGTTTAATCCACAGTAGCTATGGGAGGCAAATGCATCTTAGAAAGCGAAAATTTTTGGTGTTAAGCTGCGTAAATGGCCATACTTGTACGTACCCCATCGTTTCTCGACAGGTTTTTTTGTTGGAGAACGTTGGTTGAGACGTAGACCAGCTTCATGGAGCACTTCGGCATCCTCCAAGTGTTGTTCTGCACTACAGCAGGAAGAATAATGTGCTTGAAAGAAAAAGACATTTGGAATTGTTTGTGTTGATAGAAAATTTTCTTTTATGTTGCTCATTCGGTCTTTCAAATACTCAGCTCCGTTTTACTCTAAATGACCACCGAGGCGGAGGCGGTGAGGGACACCGAGACGACACCACGGAACCGGACGCAGCTCGAATCCTGTGACCGTTTGAGTTCCAGTAGTTTTTTTGAAGCGTTTTAAAAACTACGTGTGGCAAAGCGTATGCAATTTTCTGCTACATAGAGGGCAGAATCAGCCGCTCCCTCTTGGCTCCTCGCTTCTTCCGAGAGGGCCTTGCTTTCTTTCCCAATCCCAGCATCTCTCCAGCAGCATTGTCGCTTCCAAGTGTCTGAGCCCTTGTTTTGTACTTTTTCTACACATTCAGCATTCTAGGGAAAATGGGGCGAGGAAAGGGATTGTGCAGCAAAGTTGGAGGCCACGAGAATCCGGCCGTTGCGGCTTGGGCAATATCCGCATGCCTCTTGGCTGTAATATCGACGACATGCTTTCTTCTCGCAGAGACCATGCAGTTAAAGAAAGTGCTGGTCCCAGGCTCTTCTCTAAATGAGTTCGGGGACGTGATGTTCGTCTCCTACGCGAGCTTCAATGGTTTGGGGGCTATGCACGCTGTTCTTTGTATTCTCTCGGTAATTGTTGTAGTCTTGGGCTATTTCTTCCTTCCCCAGTTCCTGTGCGCGGCATGCCCGCTATTGCTTATCAACAAACTGGCCTGTCTGATCACGTGCTGCTTTGGAGGATACATGTTGAACGCAGCATATAAACACAAACAACTTCAGCTGGACTTTGTACGCTACGGGGGAGTCATGCCCACTGCGGACTTTTCTACCAGCTTCGTAATGTCGTGCTGCCCCTTGATCCTTCTCCTCTCAGTGGCGGCCCTCGCGTGTCTGATATGCCTTTCGAGAGCAGCAACAATAGACGAAGACGGCACAATGGTGGATGTGATGCTGCATCTGCCTGTAATAGCAGGCTGCGTGACAATGGCCGGAATTATGATACTTCCCACCCGCATACCTTTCTGCGTAGTGATGGGCTCACTTTGGTTAGTTGCTGCAGTCATTGCTGCTGCGCTTATTGGGTTCCAGAAATGGGGAGGATTGACCAGCAAGTTTTTTACCCTCGCTCTGGCCGTTTTCTACCTCATCCTTGTGGTCATGTCGGCAATATGCGTCATAGCTCAGGGTGTCCTTTTCGTGCGTGGGAGACAACAGGTGATCAACTACCGCAGAACAGAGAATGCCCATCGCAAAACATTTTTCAAGGATCTGAGCGACCAAGATTTCAACTATTACAAGTATTTCATGCTTCATCATGAGGGAGAGATTTGCCTTGCCGGGATTGTAATTAGTGCCCTTCTCTTCGTCTACAGTGTCATGGGATTCGGCTTCTGCATTCGAGCTTTCTTGGGGGGATCAAATGCCATCACAAGAGGGAATTCCAACACCTCAAGCGGCAAAGAGTAAAAAAATGGATCTTCATCCAAAACCGTTATTCAATGCTTTGACGAAGTCAGTATGGAGATAACCGCTGGAGGTAGCTTTGATCGCGTGTACCTGCCGATTCGGGAGCGGGTGAGGAGTCTTGACACGGTCACACATCTCCTTTTTCCTCTTTGTCGGACTGTGGTTCGAGGGAGTGATACGTAGTCAACAAATGAGATTTCCAACGGTCTCATTGGATGCGGCTGTTGTTGCTGGTGAAGTGACGAACACAAGGTACGTGATTAGCAACAAGTACCGGGTTACAAGTAACAGCGCCGATTTATTCATATACTCCAGTGTTATTTCAATGAATTAAGCTAGTGGCATTTGCACTAATAGTAATAATCGTATAGAATGATCTTATTTAAATCGCTGTCTCATATTGGCAGTCAACCATTTTGGCTCCATTTGAGCCTGGTGTGTCGTCGCCGTCTTGTTTCTGACAGTAACGCCAGAACACAACTGAAAGGTTAAGAGCATGGTGATCAAAGAAGGGCTTGAAGTTCCAAATAAGCTCCCTTATTTTTGGTATCCAGGATCCATTTTGTCAAGTGCCGCTGCGGTATTTCGCACTACATATGGGGCTGTAGGGTGTAGACTAGTTTCCATATCGGGAAAACGACGCAGTTCACTGCAAGGTGCTCGTGGCGACCGCTTTAAATGGTTCCTGACTCGTACGCGCTAATCGCCTAGCTTGGCCCCGGCGACTTGTCGAACGGCTGAGAATGCTCTAGTAGCCTCTTTTGGAAAGGCAAGTTACTGACAGTTTTCCTGAATTAGTGCGTTTCGGAGTCTTTTTCAAACGACTTGAGCACTTCAAGTACACGCTTGGTTGCTGGTCTCCGTATGCATAAACATGTCCGCACCTCCCCTATGGCCTAGATACATTTCCTTGAAACGCCTACATTTGCCACAATGCATGTAGAAATCTATATTGGGGAAGGGTGCCTCAGTAAGCCACTATGAGCGTAGGACAGAAGTCGGTGCTACCATAGTTGATTTTCACCATTTAGAGGCACTTTAGGGGTTGCGGTAGATAGTGGGAAAACCGCTACAAAACTATACAAGCGTTTCCATTTGTTTGACGCAGTGGAAGGCCCCAAATGGGAAAGTGTACTGGAACAGTAACCCCACACATGATTCACGTTTCCCCTACCCGTCTGACGAAAAGAATTTGTTGATGCATAGTCGTAAGTCTGAGAAATCGTAATCTTGGTTTAACGAGCTCCACTCAGCAGTGGTAGTACAGCTCGTATTCCTTCGGATGAGGAGTGAAATCAACAAGACGGCATTCATTCCTCTTGAACTTAATGTATGCATCTAGAAACTCCTGAGGAGAAGTAAGTAAACAAAACCGGAATATACAAATGTCTAACGAATAACAGATCTTTGGTTTAGTCAAGAAAGCGGAAAGCCCATGCGAAGGAGTTCAATGAAGGAATCAGCAAATCAGAATAGAGCGAAGGCAAGTAACAATGTGAACATATTCCAACAAATCAGCATTATGGAATAA